AAATTGTCATAGTATGTAACTCAAGTTAAAATAACACTTTTCATTACTCGTGCAGCTTAATCAAATATTATATGTCATTTTAAACGACCCATTGGTATTAACATGGTAACATCAATGTATTAAAAAAAATAGACAGCGACGTTCTCTCAGAAGTTGTTTTGTAGACGTTTATCTTTTGATGACCTTTTGACATCCTGAATTCTGCAATGAGATTTTCGGGTCGATTCAGCCGAGTTTCATGTAAATGTTTCGTACGGGAAAAAAAATCGCGAACCGGTCCTACTGTTAAATATCGGTTAGTTGTTGTCGACTTTGAATGAGTAGTAGGCACAGTTCCTTTTAGTACACAGCAAACTTTTATTCACACAAACTGTACGTTGGTTACAATCAGCTAAACTCCAGGTTTCAGATGTTAGAGAACCCTTTTAGAGTGGAGTTAGCTCAACTCTGTACTGACTACGACTACTGATTACTGATTCAAACCAATTTAAGGCATTTATCAGGTGAAGGGTATCGATTCCAATGATTATATTCTGAAAATCCAAGCTGAGGTTGAGAACAGTGAGTGGATTGCGATCTTGGTGCCTTGGTATATTATCTTCTGGTCCAGGCGTTTCTTGTATGTCACCTGATAGTGCTAGTACATTATCTGTCTCTTATACACATCTGGCCTATAATCCAAACTCCCTGCCTTAATTTTCAGTAATTCTAGGCGGAAGCAGGTCAACTCGGCATCAAGTTGATGTTGACAGTAGTTCTCACTCCATGAAAATATTTCAGGTTTCAAACTTACTGGACTATTTACATAAATGAGTGTGGATAATATCAATCTTTTTGACTCAGTGGTACATACTCTAGTTTGTCAAAACCCACTGTTTTGGCAAACTAATGGCAGCATAATAATGCCCTGATTTCATTAAAACCACATTAATTATTTGGCAGCATATTAAGACCTAACAATAAAACATGAAATAATGGATACTGTAGCAGCAATACGTTAACCACACACACGCACGTACAGCATACACAGCTTTTCGCCTACTTGGCGTTCCATACAAATATATCGCGGCCGAACTTGTTCACGGCCGAACCGGTCCTACTGTTAAATATCTGTTAGTTGTTGTCGACTTTGAATGAGTAGTAGGCACAGTTCCTTTTAGTACACAGCAAACTTTTATTCACACAAACTGTACGTTGGTTACAATCAGCTAAACTCCAGGTTTCAGATGTTAGAGAACCCTTTTAGAGTGGAGTTACTACTGACTACTGATTACTGATTCAGTGATATGGGGGTGTTTGCCTATTATACTTTAGGTAATGGGGGTGTGTCTCAAGTAAGTCACCCCATACTTTTAGAGTTTCTGATTGGATCATAGAGAAATTCTTTCTCTGTGATTTAATAACTTGTTTACCAAAAAACTGCTAATTAAGATGTATCACAATTAAACTTCAGAGCTTAGGCTCAAAACTGACAATCATAAACTCATAGTGTGAGAAAGGCCAAGTCCAACTGACTAGGGTAAAGTTATACAAAGTCCAGTTATATTATTAGATTATCTGTATACTCAAGTTGACCATTAAAACTGTCAAACCAATTTAAGGCATTTATCAGGTGAAGGGTATCGATTCCAATGGTTATGCAAGTTAATACCATTGAACCTTAATACTACATTACACTACACCGGCCTGGATGCTTGGTGTGAAGCCATGTGCTTTCTGAGAACAAAGTCACTGGAACAAAAGGCATCAGCATATATGATAAACAGTCATGCAAAACGAGCAGGCTACTGTAGGCTGGAATCTCAAGCAATAATTCAGTCCATATTTCACTAAATGATGAGGTAAATCGGGGTTAAGTCTGGGATGAAACAGCTCAGAGTGATCAGCACATGATCCTCTATCTCGAAATGTAAAATTCATGTAGTGTGGAAGGATTAAAATAGCAAAAGCTAACTAATGGTAGAGACCATTGTAAGTGTTGCAGAAAAGCCGCCATCTTGTTTTGCCATTCGATAGTCTAAGTAGGTTAGCTTTTGTGAAAAATCACCCTTTTAAGAAATATGATGCAAAAAATAAATAAATAAATGAAAGGATAGAAATACTTCTTCACAAATTTTGCAACAATTACTTTCCATTTACCTGGTCGTAACTTCATGAATATTTCTTGAGGTGTTAATTGTACTGGCACTTTATCTGTTGCTGTAGCATCACGTAAGCTATCAGCCTGTTAACCAATTAATTGGACAAGAAGTAATTATTAATCGGGAAATATTAAATTCAATAGACTTTTAAAGTCATCAACAACAACAACATCGTCCACATCAACATCGGCACCACCAACATCTCTATTGTTATCGTTTTCATCATCTTCGGCATTGCCATTATCATCGTCATGATCTATTATCATTATAATCATCTTCACCATCTGCAGCATTGTAATCATCATCTTCATTATTATCATCATTATCTTTATTATCATCATCTTTATCGTCCTCTATTCATCATCATTTTTGTTATAATTATCTGAATTGTTTGAATCACCCGTGTTTTGCGAATGGTTGTATTAGGAGTCTGTTGATCTTCTGCTCTACAACCAGCATTCTTCAGAGACTCTCTTAGATCACACCTTGGTTCTAAGAACCCCTATATAATAATAATATAATAATAATAATAATAATAATAATAATAATAATAATAATGATAATAATAATAACAATAATGCTACTACTACTACGACATACTACTATTAATAATAATAATAATAATAATAATAATAATAATAATAATAATAATAATAATAATAATAATAATAATGTGATGATTGGTCTGTTATTCATCACATATCACTAAAGTAAAATAAATGATGGCCATATACATTCACCCCCCCCCCTTTAATTCAGTGCCTTACCTCTTGCATACCTGTCAACCTTGAAAAATTTCAAAGAATAGGATCGGGTGACACATAATGTGTGCCGAAGCCACGAACTGTGGCTGGGGCCAGGGGCCGCCAAGGGCTCCCAATCGGGGTCGTTCGGCTTGGACTCTTTGGCTTGACATACATATCTAATCGATATTAGTGAGTGTATAATGATCTCAGAAACAGTAGTTATTGATAGATAGTTTAAGATAATGAAGGGCATCAAATTGAAAAATAAAGAAAATTTACTGAAATTATAGGATTAAAGCGTAAGTTTTGCCGGTGTTTGCGCAAGACCGTAAGATTTGATTAGAATGCATGCGTAAGACTTACGGCGAATGCGTACCGTACGGGTTGACAGGTCTGCTCTTGCGAGCACCAGTGACATTTAGTATTTATCAAAAAACACTCTTCTCACGATATAATAATGATAATAATAATAATAATAATAATAATAATAATAATAATAATAATAATAATAATAATAATAATAGTAATAGTAATAATAATAATAATAATAATAATAATAATAATAATAATAATAATAATAATTAATAATAATGTGATAACTGGTCTGTTATCCATCACATATCACTAAATACATATACGTTCACCCACATTTAAATCAGTACGGTACCTTACCTCTTGCGAGCACCAGTGGCATTTAGTATTTATCAAAAAACACTCCTCACACGATGTGGCTTCTTGACATCTTCTTTCTAACAATTATATATATATATATATATATATATATACATATATATATATATATGTATATATATAATTATTATTATTGTGTTTGATTATTTGAAAGTCTTATAATAATAATATTATAATAATGTTTTGTGTATGTTACTTAAAAAGAGTAAATTTAGTACTCGTATCAACAACGGTCACGATTGAGGTTGGGTCCTTAACTTGCCGTAGTAACCAAACAAATTTTGAAAAAAAAGAAGTTCTAACCAACACCGAAGTGGCGTGTAGGAAAATTGGTATGATGAACCCCACGAAGGCAAATAGCATCGTGTGGAGGTCGCGAGGTGCGTTAGAAACGCTAAGCTACCCACCCCCTACTCACCCACCCATTAGTAACATCTCTGTGGAAGAACGAAGTACAATACTCACCCTTAAGAAAGACAATAAGATCACGATCCTGCCGGCGGGCAAGGGAAATTCAACTGTTATCCTTAACACCACTCATCAGGATAAAATGAAGTTTTTGTTAAAAATGACAATAGCACATAGGCCACTCCAAATTAAACGGAGACCCAACTCCAAGCAACAAAGATCAGTTAAGAATATCGTGGACTCGAGAAGGGACACTATAAACAAATAAAATATCAAATCTACCCTACTTCAGAAATGAAACGCCCAAAATTCACAAGGAACATTACCCGCTTAGACTAGTGTATTGGAAGTATCACATATAAGGCCTCGAAAATATTAGCTTCTATTTTAAACCACTGGAGGCCACGGGTATTGACAAACTGCGAGTCAGCGCAGCATGATTCATGCATAGAGAAAATAGATTCATGCAAGCCATCTATCCTCGTGACTACGTCAACTGCAATTCATGCGAGGCAGGACGAAGTATAACTGCAGGAATGTACCAAAAGTGCGAGGCACCTTAAAACACGCTAAAACTCAGTAAAAGTGACAATGACAGACGCGGATCCAGTGGGGGGGGGGGGATGAGGGCCCGTCCCCCCCCCCCCCCCGTCAGTCAAGCCGAAAAATAAAAAAAGAGGGTGACAAATTTCAGTTAAGAGAGGGAGTGCACCCATGAGTTCAGTGGCGATACAGCATGTCGGCGAAAGGAGAGCTCAATTATTTACCACTTATTGGTGGGGCTGAGGTGGGCGTGGCGGCGTGGTTGGGGCTGAAGTAAGAAAATTTGTGATTATATAATTTAATAAATTTTGAAAAAATAGAATGTTGGGGCCCGTGCTGACAGGGTTCCCCCCTTGAATCTGCCACTGTTCAATATAACACTTGACATAGCCTATCATTTTGTATCACAATGATTAATTCCTAATGTCAAGCGAAAGATATTTTTATTCGAAAGATTGTTTTTACTCAATACAGTTTTTACAACCTGTAACACATTAACTACAGCGTCTGTAAATTCTGTAGTTAACCTTCAGAGAACTTTATTTTAAAAAATTGCCTAATTAATTATCTTACTGTTTTTGTTAAATTTAGATGGAGTTTAATGTGGTTGTATTCCGCTAGTTTGAAAGTTTACTGTAAGCCAATCAGTTACACTTACTATATACATCTTCGTGGTTAGCATAAAGAGAACTAGAGCGCCGCTCCATTAAGAGTGCCTACCTCCCCCCATGTCTAAATACAGAATTTACTAAGGAAGGCGATTTTTTTCTTCATGCTTGAGGGTGGGTTTCAACTTGTAATGCTCGTTAGAAAATGAAAAAAAATATATATATTTTATAATGATAATAATAGGTCAATTTATAAGACGCAAATAAACAAGGTGTCTAAGCACCAAATCATTGCAGCGTTCGTAAAATGTCACTGGTATTGGGAGCAGTCAGAAAAGTGGGGGCCCAGGCCCCCAGGTATAAAAAGTGGGTGGGCCAATGGCCCCCTGCCTCCCCCACTGCTTCTACCGTCATTGAATTGGGCGTTACACATCCCCAAATCATAAGCAAAAAATATGGAATAACAGCCACATCACTCTTATCAGATCCATCAAACACCAGACAGGATCGCCCACATTTTCCGAAAACATGGCATAAGTTCCTACTACAATTGAACACACTAAGATCCATGCTGGTTCACCCTGAGGATTCTAATCCCCGACACAAAACATGTGGCGCCATATCAGATCGATTGTTCATAAAAAATAATGTGGGTGAAACTGCCAGATCACTGGAATCAAGATTTTCTGAACACGTGGAGACTAGAGAAAAAAAACTTCACCGAGAAGATAGGTATTGGCCAAGAAAAATAAGAGAATTTATGGAAATTCAGACCAAAACTAGGCGCCCCACCCTCAATCGTGACCGTGAATACGAGCTACCGACAGTACTAGAGGAAGTGCAAATTCTATTGCATGCTTCAATGACCATGTGACAAGTTTTCCTGAAGAAGTTGCTGAGTACGAAAGCTTGGATGTAAGATTTATATTTTATTTCAAATATTTTCAATTACAAGAATTCATCCATTTGATAATAATAATAATAATAATAATAATAATAATAATAATAATAATAATAATAATAATAATAATAATAATAATAATATATTAGACTTATACAGGGCTTAATGCAACCATTTTGGTATTAAGTTGGATTATATAATACAATACAATTTTTAAATATTTGATCGATTTTGCAATATTGTTTAAACAATAATTTTCATGAAATACAATGTTCATCCATTTAAATTTAGTTAAACTGCTTTGTATTATACTACCTTTACATTGCACTTCAAGGCTCAGTGACCATAAGAAAAATACGCAAATAACGGACTGCCACATAACACAAGGATTCACAGCCTATCGAAACATAAAATTTAATTAATAAATATACATTTGATTGGATTGATTTATTGGTATGGAACTTTATAATGAACCTAGGAAAGACATTTCTAGTAGGGTCATTTTTTTTCTTTCTTTTTATTATCCTTTCATATTTCATAATAATACATATATACATATACTGTAAATAACAAAGCAAAAACCACAATGGTGGGCATTGGTGATAAGTTAAATGTATCTTTTAAGACTCTGCGAATACACCCTATCAACTGAAACTAAAAGAAGCTTTGTATGTGAATTGGGAAAAACCCCCCCTAAACAAACAATTGACGCATATAAAATTATTTTCTTTTTATTTTATATCTATATATTTGGTTACATACATACACACACACACACACACACACATATATATATATATATATATCTTTTATTCGGCTCTTAAGGGGAAACTCTTTTGTCTATGATTTCTCCTTATCGTCGTTTTAGTTTCCCCTTAGCGATACTACCTTCTCCTTAAGGTACTGCTTAGTTTATTTTGTCATTCTGATCGGATTCTCTCTACTGTTCCGTTTTAATTTTAAATAGTTTTGCATTATGTGGCCGTTTGCTGTTTTATGGGTTTTTCCCATTTGCCTTCTTAAATGTATATATTATTAAAGAATCTCTATTGAGATCCAGCGGGCCGCCATTGATGCACGGTAGAGATTGCATCTTTAGATCTCCGATCTTGTTCACAAATTCACGGACTAGTGCTGTCTCGTAAGAATTTCGTAGACGCGTTAAGGATGACAAAATATTCTCTGTATCTACTGAAACCGAGCCACATAGGTTGTATTCCACTATTTGCATTCACACCTGGGCTGTGTATATATATTGCCTTATATAGATTAAAAGGCAAAATACTGGAAAACAACGATGCTGTGGGAAACAATGGCTGGATCTAGAGATACAAAAATGATAAGCAACAGCTAAAAAGTAAACGTAAGTAAACAACCAGAAATAGAACCAAAGCTTTCGGACAACACTAGTCCTTCGGACAACACTAGTCCTTCCTCAGTGCCTTATATATATAACACTAGTCCTTCTTCAGTGC